ATTGCATTCAATCCATGAATAGTAGTATTTAATCACAAACTCTGACCGAAGTTTCACAAGACTTTGCGTTTCATTCAAAACATTTTGTTTCTCTTTTTCTGTCAATCCTTTAGAATAATCCAAATATAATAAAATAATAATAATTTTGCAAATAAAATAAAATATACTTACCATTTAATAGGCATTTCTTTATTGCATAGAATTCATAGTCGCATTTATTTTGAACTTTATATACCTTTCCATAGCCACCCTCACCAAGCTTATTTATAACATCAAATGACTTTTCAAATGATATTGAATTATTCAACTTATCGTGAGTTTCTATAATAAAACATAATAATAATCATTTCAATGCACAACATATTAAGACTACAATTAAGGCATTATTGTGATATTTACTACAAATTTGTATATTTTGTTGAATATGTACTGAATGTACAGTATTTAAAGTGATTTGCAATTCATGTGAAAAGTAATCATCAAATGATGTATAATTGGTTTCAAACAAATTTTCGCCAAAAATTTCATATATTATATGACCAGATTTGCCCACAATTTTTGAGCAATATTTTTGTTTGATTTCATTGAACACAAAATGTGATAATATTTTTAAACACTTATTTCGAAATTCATATCGATGTAAGTGACCATGGTTAGATAACAAATATACATTATGCGGACTTTGTAGAAGTGCATTGTGAATGTTAATTTCAATTTCTAATAGATGTGGTGTTTTTATTATATTATTATCTACCTTTCCCCATATAAGCACCTGTCCCTCACAAGTAAGAGCAAGTGATGTATACCTATTGCACTCTATTTTACTAATTTGATATTCAGTGGCAAATTCAACAGGAATTGGATCTAATTTAATACTTTCATCGCCACAACCAACCTGTCCCATGTCATTATACCCCCACCCGAATACCTGTCCATTTGATGTCAACACAATTGTGTGATAATCACCACAACTTATTTGTGAAATAATTAAATTATTTGATTGGAAATATAATATGGTATGCGATGTATGGTACAAATGCACTATCAATTTTCCCCTATTAATGCGACCGAAACTGAATATTACATTATTATCCGTATTGACAGCCAATGCAAAACCTTTTCCACTGAAAAACTGATTTATATTTTTATTGCATAATTCTGGCACTCGTTGTGGTGTATGAATGGGTGTATTGTGTCCTAACCCGAGCTGACCCTCACTATTAGATCCCAATCCATACACCATATCATCAAATGTCACAAACAGTATGTTATGTTTCCTCCAGACATTGAAAACATAAAAATATTTAATTTTTTGTTTTAAAGGTTGTGGTATTTGATCACAAATTTTATAATTATTAATTACAGTTGACATTTTATTAAATAATATATTTATCACAAATAATAATGAATATAAATTATATTAATTCAATAATCAAAAACATTTATTTGTATAATAATTATACAAAATGGTGACAATAGTTATTAATTTTCATACAATTTACTCCACTTTAGTGTATATAACTATATCATAATAACACATATCATAACTTTATTACGAAAAACAAATATCGATAACATGATTATTGCTAAGCAAGTAATCAACCAGGTTGTTGAGATTATTAAGTAATCTGTACAATAGCGTAGTGTCTCTTATATTAATAATATTGACAATCTATATACTGGTCTTCAAAAGTAATTTTCGTTTTATAATTTTACAGAAAAATTAAAATTATTCAAAAACTATTGAAATTGAGATTTGAAAATTTAAGCACAAATACATCATATGTTTATCAAATAGAATATATGATAATTAGAAAGTTTTAATTGATAATTAATTTTATAAAATTAAAAGTTTGATTAAACCGGTGTTCATAAGTAATTTGCAATTTAGTAATCGAAAAAAAAATTAAAAATTAAAGTTTAATTGTAGCTAATATTTAGTTGGACCTTTGAGTCAATCATACACTGACGACGTCGAGGAACCGATTCGACCAACTTTTCGATGAAGTCTTTGGGCAATTGATCCCATGTTTCTTGGAGGCCCTTAAAGAACCGTTCCCGTGATGTCTGGGCCCAGACCGACACGTGATTCTCGAGATAATCCCAGGCATTCTCTATAATGTTGAGGTCTGGTGACTGTGGCTCCCATTTAAGACGTTTAATCTTATTCTCCTCGAAGTAATTGGTGGCTGCGGTTGCGGTATGTTTGGGATCAAAGTCCTGTTGCCAGATCAAAGTATACATAATCAAAAAAAGTACAATATGTTATAAATTATAACTTTATATATTATAACTTATAATACGTACCTATAGGCTATAGGTAGGCTAAACCTTATTTCTATTATTATTTATAATTAAATTTTAGTTTGATTTATTAATAAATGTCAATAAAAATAAATATTTCTATATTTCAAATTCAAAATCTCAAGATTATGCCCAAATTATGCTCAAAATTCTAAAATAATTGAAATGTAGTTACTAACCCATCAAATAGTTATTTATAGTTAAAATAAAACTCTTAAAATGACCCTTATTACATGATTTGTATGCATAGTTAATCTCATGAAGTTCTTGGCTATCGCAACAAATAGTTAAGTAACTGGATTTGGATGCTTTATCTATGACTGTCGTAGTGGTGACTACCGGCGCTCACGCGAACTATGTCTGGCATTATCTGCAGCCAGTGTTTGATGGATTGGTTGCTAAAGTCACCCAACATTTCGATTAATATTTAGATTTATTTCAGATTTTTATCTCATTTTAATGACATTTTATTTCGTTTGGTGTCTGTATTTGCATGCATTCACTCGCTATTAGTCTACTTTAGTCTCATTTTTTGCGATTCATTCGTTCAATTCTTTTGATAATTAATTATATTTTGAAGTAAAGTATTTGAAAAATAATTCACAGATAGTTTTAGTCCCGATTGTCAAAGTGGTTCAAACAGACCATTGTCATTTATCTACCGGTGCCAGTACCCAGTCCCATTGCATTTAAAAATTAATAAATAGATATAAATGTATCGGAATATCCACTTACAATTTTGATCATGATTCCCAATAATTATTATACTAGAATCGCGGTTTGGTATCGAATTGCCTGTCAATCCTTGTTAAAGTACACTGACCTAGTAATTAACCATGATAACTGGGTAATTTGGCTTTGAAAAAATATTCCCATTTTTCATTTCTTATAGAAAATACATTGGTAAGTAATAATAAATTATAAATAAACAATATGTGAATCAATGAATATAATAACCGGTTATCTCTATATCCAAACACTATGTAATAGAACAAAAAAATTTTAGAAAATGTTAACTTTTAGGCGTTTTATTAAGAGTTTTATAAATTTATAAAAAAAGAGTGACCAACTTGATATATTTTTTAGAGAATTAGTTAATTCTATATTTTGTTTGTTTATTCAGGTTTTTGGTCTAAAATATATTATTTTATATATTTGTGACTGAATCCATAATTTTTATTGACCTCAGACTTTTGTTTCAGCCGCAGTGACAACTTTTATCGCGAATTTTGGATTACATAAAG